GCGGGTAGGTCGAGTGTTCTTGATTTTCTTTTGGGTGGAGACAGGGGAGGACGACGACGACGAATGAATATTCACGTGGAATTTCTCCGATGTGCACCACGTGCATCCCTCCACCGGTTCCGTCCTGACCCACCTTCTGGTCGGGCTCAAACTCGTGGGGCTTGGACGCCAAGTCTGAACAGCACCGCGAGGAGGAAAAGAGGAGGAGCGGAGTGTAAGGACGAATCCGCGCCAAGTGGGGCAGGAGGGAGACAAATGGGGGGCAGAAAGGAGAGAAGGGGGATGGATTTTCTAGGGGGGAGGAGCATGAGACGAGGAAGGCGGGCCGTGACGACGAGGGGTCGTTCAACGTTTCAATTCACACGTTTTGCGGAGTTGATCCGATGGTTGATTGGTGTTCGGTGTTTCCAGAAAAAATGCGGGGATGACGATAAACAGTGTAAGCCCATGATGCAGCCACCATGCAACAATACACCTTCCGCCCCAAAGCGCTTCCAGACCCGTATTTTCAAACATGTTTGTCACCACGCGGAGTGCCACCTTGAAAAACGAACGCCCGATGGGTCAGCCTTTCTGACGAGAGCTTTGTTGCGACAAGGAGCCGCACTCCACAGATGCAGACATCGGACATATTCAGAATGAGGATCAGCTGTTCAATCAAATGCCCAGCGATACCCCCATGTTGAAAACGGGTTTGCAGTGTATTAGCGCGTCTAACCTGACGTTCGAGCATACCCGTCGGTCGTTGAAAGTAGGTACTTTGGGAGTCTCAGGTCCCAAGCTACTTCTAGCGCCTTCCTACTTCAAGAATCGGCATGGTTAGAGTGAGGGGGCCGCACGGTTATTCACTGTCCCTGGGCGCGTGGCTGAAGTGAGGTTTTGCGGTGCGGATTGTTGTTGCTGCTGCTGTTTGTTGTTTGTTGTCGTCGTCCCCCTCCCGACCTGGCCCGCGACCCGCCCGCGACCCGGCCCGCGACCCACCCTTCTACCCGCCCGCGACCCACCCGCGACCCACCCCGCGACCCACCCGCGACCCACACGCGAACCACCCTTCGACCCGCCCACGACCCACCCGCGACCCACCCGCGATCCAACCGCAACCCGCCCGCGACCCCTCCCGCGACCCACCCGCGACCCATTCGCGACCCATTCGCGACCCACCCGCGACCCACCCACTACCCGCCCCGCGAGGTTCCCACATTGCTTGATCAAAAAAGTCGACGCTTGCCCACCGCAGGAGGAGGAGGAGGAGGAGGAGGAGGAGGAGGAGGAGAAGAGGCGCGTGGTTGCAGAAACGTGTGTCTGTCAATAGCTTTGCGATGTGCACAGGGAGGAAGCAGACATTGCGAATGCTTTGGTCGGCTGCCTTTGGGCATGCAACCTGGAGGAGAAGGAGAGTGACGAAGAGGGGAAGGGGGATGGGGAAGGAGGTAGTCTTTTGGAAGAGCTGGCCCGCCAGATCGAGCGCATCAGGCTTAGCTTTGATTTCATGAGACACGCGGGGCCAGGGATACTAAGCCATTGGCCATTTGAGTGATGTGGTCATCTGACCGGGGCCGATGACATGCTTCAAGACTTCGGTTCTGGACGATGGGAGTAGTTGCAGTTCAGACATGTTGTTGGCGCCCTGCGGCTGCCATTTGCTGTGTTGTACGTTGGACTGTGCGACATTGTGCACTCCTCCTGCAGCATATGACTGTTTTGCATGGGCAAGACGTGTGCGGAACTGATGTTCGGCGGCATGTCCTCCTCATGATCATCGCCATCATCGTGTTCCCGCCCCCCCCTCCCCCAGTGGCCATGTATCTTCCCTATCGCCATCCACCCTCTACAGGCGGCCCGGATTAGTAGGTCGACCCTGCCAAACCAAGGGTGCCTTTGTGTCCCGTGTCTCGCGACCCATTGATCGCCACTTCCCGCCGCGCAGGTTGGGACGCTCGAGGAAAAAAGCCGTGTCTCGCGACCCATGCTTCCTACATTCTTGCGGCCATGTGGCCCTCGGAAGGGTCCTGTGTCCTCTCGCGTGTCCTCTCCAGTCGAGTCCGACTGTACCTAATCCACCCGCCTCCCTCCGTCATGCGCACTCGCTCCTGCTCCTCAGCCGACTCCTGCTCCTGTCCCTCTTCATCCTACTCCTCGGCCACCACCTCGGCCTCCACCGTCTCGTCCTCTTCCGCCACGCTCGCCACTGGAGCACCGTGCCCGCGCCCTCGCGCCCGCGAGCCAAGAGGGCACGCCCCTTCCGCGACGGGAGCTGTTCGAGGGTCTCCCGATATCCTCTTCTCTGTGATTCTGGCACGCCATTTGACCTGGCTGGGTAGTCGAAGGCCAGACTGTCAGATTGGATTGGGCCCCAAGGGCCAATCTGGCCTGGCCAATCTGGATGATTTGGGTTATTCGCCAGACTGGATTCGCGTTGGCTCCCTCGCCAGATTGCCCCCGTTTGCCAGTTTGGGCCTGCCAGACTGGCGCCAGATGGGCTTCGACTACCCAGTCTGGCTTTGTGGGTCATCCCAGACGTCGATGTGAAAAACCGATCCGCCCCCCTCCCCAGGAGCGTCCCCCAGGAAAATGTTTTCAGTGGAGCCACCTGGGGGGGGCGGGTACCAAGGAGGTCTGGCAGCAAGACGTCTCAGAGCCGATGAGGGGGAGCACGAGCTCCCCAGTCCGTGTCCCCGTGCGCTGCTCCTCAGCCTCCTCTCCCTCGTCCTCCCGCTTCGCATCCCCCTCGTCCTTCCCCCTCTTCTCATCACAGTTGCCGCCGCGATTGCTCGATGTTTTTAGCGTCATGGATGCGGATGTGCTCTGAAGACCAGCCTGGCGGTGGCGCTGGTGGTCCCCATGAGTTCAGCTCTGAGCGACGGGCAACGGGTGGCCTATAATCTGCAGGGTTTCGCCCTTCTTGCCGCATGCTTCCCGCTGACGGGCTCGTGGGTTGGATGTCCTCAGCAATGCTGCAAATTGTGCACTCATCGGTCGTTGAGGGTAGACTGTCTCTGGATTTACAGGTTCCAGTTCTTCGGGCGCCCGCATGCTTCCATCGTCGAGTGGTGTTAATCACGCGTCCTTCCTTTTGGAGGGCGGGCGGAAGCCCATTCTACTTTCGATGCCTTCCTGCGTCCACCCGCTTCTTCCGACCGATGGGCATCGTTTTCTGGGCGTTATCCGTGAGGCATTGGGCAATGGCCTAGCTGATGTTCCGTGATGTCCAGGCCTTCTCTGCTGCCAAACGAGGGCCTTTGAGGAACCCGCTGGCCCGACGTTGCGCCGCCGTCAACAGTTTTCCAGTCGGAGGACTGGGAGGAACTCGAAGTGATCGGGGGCGGCAAAGAGGGGGGTAATGACTAGGGGGGTGGTGGATCTCATGGCGTGGGCCATGATATTTCCCCAGATTCCATGGCGCCCCTTCCTGTTTCATTGCATCCTTGGCCCCCCCCCTGGGCCGCGCACATGCCGCCGGCCATGAATTGCACCCCCCCTCTTGGACCCTCCCTCTTGGCCGCCCCCGAAGTGACACGGACCCCCCCCCCGGAAAGTCGGTGCCGGGTTCGTGTCCGTGCTGGCGTGTGCTCTCGAGGCAGCGCTGCGTGCGCGGGCGGGGGGACCGAGCCCACCACCGCTGCGGCGGAGCCAGGGCAGGACAAGGATTCCCCCGTCTCCGGTCTGTGGAGTGGCCCAGCGGTTGTCCTGAGGTCGTCGCACGGTTGTCCGGTGGTTGTTGTGATTTGGTTGTCCCAGCAGTTGTCCCGACGTTTGTCCCCACGTCTGTCCCGACGGTTGTTCCGAGGGTTGTCCGGATGGTTGTCCGGATGGCTGTCCCGATGGATGTCTTGATGGTGGTCCCCATGGATTCAAGTTTTTCGGGGTTGGACAGACCTCCTACCCCGACACGTCGATTGAGGAATCGGCCGTTTTCGGTCCGCGAGAGGGCGTCGCGGCCGTCATTTTTGCGGGTCCAGGTCCATCGGTTTCGGTCCCAGGCCGCTTTCACTAAGGGGAGGTCTACTGAAGGGAGGTTTGTCCACCGCCGAGTTTTGGAAAGCACGGATTCGCTGGGCGCCCGTGGGTTGTTCCGATGGCGTTCGGTGAACAGAGTTCGGGCCGGGCGAAAGGGGGGGATTGGGAAAGGGGGGGTTACGAAATTTGCTGCATGCAGCTGGTTTCGGACACGGTGAGGGGCCCATTCCTCGATACATGGCCGCCTCCGGCGCCGGGAGGCGCCGGGAAAATCAGCTACGTGAGCTGATTCTCACCCCCCCCCTTTGCTATCCCCCCCTTTTCGCCCGACCCGAGGGTTGTTCCGATGGCGTTCGGTGAACAGAGTGCGTTCGGCGCCTTCAGGCGCCTACAAGTTCGGACCGAACTGCAACAAGCAGGGTGCTGGCCGATCGCCCAGAGTGGTGAAGATTCCAAGGTGAGGAGCCCAGACACGACGAAGATAATCAGCCACGCGCAAAGGGGGGTGGGGGGGGGGTAGGGCTTCTTAGAAGCACCCCTGCTTCTGAGAAGGCGCGGGCCTTCTCTATAGATAGAAGGCCGGCGCCTACTAAGAAGCAGCCTGCTTCCAAGAAGCCCTCCCCCCTCCCCCCACCCCCTGGTGCGCGCCGCCAAAATGAGGGCAGCCCTCCAAGGCTGCAGTCGAGCTCGATTGGGGAGGACTCACACGAGAGGGCGCCTAGGCCCCTCCGAGGGCCACATCGCCGCAGGAGTGCAGAGGGCACGGGTCGCCAAGCGCAAGGGTGCCCTTGACGTGGCAGGGTCGACCTACTGGTCAGCTGTCTTGCAATGTTCAAGAGGGAAAGAAACACACAGACACAATTATTCGGCGATTCCCCAGAAAGTATAGGAGAATATGGGAAGTGGGGGGGGGAGGACAGAAACCCAGAAAATATGAGAAAATATTGGAAATCTTTTTATTTGTGTGTATTTATTTGTGTGTCCCAGGGCCCCTTCAAATGTGCCTCCGCGCGTGCACGCACACCGCTCGGCGAGGAGCCGCCTCCGCAGCGTCAGGGCCCCTCGATGGGGGGGGCAGAGGACTTTGCGGCCGGCGGCGTGGCCGGGATGGTCGCGCGGACGGTCATCGCACCTGTGGAGCGCATCAAGATCGGGCCGGGCGAAAGGGGGGGATTGGGAAAGGGGGGGTTACGAAATTTGCTGCATGCAGCTGGTTTCGGCCTCACCGAGGGGCCCATTCCTCGGTACATGGCCGCCTCCGGCGCCGTGAGGCGCCGGGAAAATCAGCTACGTGAGCTGATTCTCAAACCCCCCCTTTGCTATCCCCCCCTTTCGCTCGACCCGACAAGATTATCTACCAGACCCGCGTCGGCAAGAGCGCCAGCCAGGGCTGGCTGGTGCTGATCCGGAAGGTTGTCGACGAGAGCGGCGGGGGCATAAGGGGCGTCGCTGCCTTCTGGAGGGGGAACTCGATCGCCGTCATCAGGGTATTTCCTTACCTGGGGGTCCAGTTGGCCTCCAACGAGTACTTCAAGAAAAACCTCGACTACCTGGGCAGGTCGGCAGGCCTGCCGATGACCCGCGAGGTCCGCAACTTCTTCGCCGGCGGGGGCGCGGGCATGACCGCCGTGATGGCGACGTATCCGCTGGACCTGGCTCGGGCGCGGATGGCGCTCCTGATCGAGCAGGGAGGTGCTCGACGGGCTGAAAGTCGATTCGGATCGAGAATCGAGAATCGGACGGGGTTTTGGTGGACGCTCTCGTCGGTGCCATGGTTCAGACCCGAATCACCAGGGGTAGCTCGGGTCAGGGCTAACTCGGGTTCGTTTTTCGGGAATCCGAACCCGAGTTGCCCCGGGCCCGAGTTACCCCGGATAACTCGAGCGTCCAGAGCCCCAAATCATCAGGGATAATTCGAATCCAAACCCGAGTTACCCCGGGCCCGAGTTACCCCGGATAATTCGGGTGCCCAAATGGTGGTGTTTTTGCCCCGACGCATGCGCTCCTCGGCGGCGAAATCCGAACCCGACCCTCGCCGATCAACGATTCGGGCAGCTCGAGGGGCGGCGGTGGTGCAGTTCGGAAGTCGCCGAACGCGTGGCGAGAGCCGAACCGTACCCTACGCCCGTCTCCCATCGATCCAGGACAATCGACGGCTGGTGTGGGTAGGGTTCGGGTCTCGCCACCTACAGTCGGGGTGCGGAAGAAGGAACCGTTTTCGTTTGGGAGGGGCTCCGTGTTCTTCGGTTGTTCCATTGCTTGCCTCAGGTCGTCCTTCGGTTTCCCAGGGGAAGTCGAAGTTCAACTTAAGGACAAGAGGGGCATCGCTCCTTATGTATCGTTCCTCAGGTCAACGCCCCGACTGCGCGTTGCCTCATTAGTATCGTCCCTTTTCTACCGTTCCTCATTATTATCGTTCCTTGTTTGTCGTTCCTCAGTATCGTTCCTTCTTATGATCGTTCCTCCGGAAGCTGCGCCTCGCCGAGACCGTCCCCAGGGGGCCCCGAAGCGTCCCGAGGGGCCGCGGGGGGCCCGAGCGGCCGCGGCCCGGCAGCTCCGCGGAGGGCCCGAGGCTCGGCCGAGAGCGCGGGGGAAAAGGGCCCCCGCGCCAGAGAGCGGGCGCTGGAGCGCCGCGGCTCTGCGAGAGGGCGCCGCGGGGGCATCGGGGGAGGATCGAGGATCGAGGAGGAGGAGGAGGAGGCGGAGGAGGAGGAGGAGGAGGAGGTTCGAGCATCGAGGATCGAGGCTCGTGCCTATAGGCCTAAGCTCGGGGGTGGACAGACCTCCTACAGTCAACGCGCCTAGTAAGGACGCGCGCCTTCGTCTAGGAGACCCCTGCGCCCTTGCCTCTGTGGCCCGTCCTTTGCCGTTTTCGCTGGTCGCCGCCGCCAAAAAAAAATCCAGCTTCAGCCTCCAAGGGTCTTGCGTCCTTACCACGCGTCCTTGATATACGTTTTGACTGTACCCTGACACGTCGATGAAGGAATTGGCCGTTTTCGGTTCGCGAGAGGGCGCCGCGGCTGGCCTTTTTTGCGGGTCCAGGTCCGTCGGTTTCGGTCCCAGGCCGTTTTCACTGAGGGGAGGCGTGCTAAAGGGAGGCTTGTCCACCGCCGAGGGGAGGGGTGGGGTGGGATCGGGGGGGGGGACGGGGACGGGGACGGGGGGGCCAAACCGAAGCCCTAAGTCGTGCATGTCCCTCTACAGGAGGAATATTCGAGAATAGTAATACATACATATATATATATATATATATATAGATATATAGATATATACATGTGTATATATAAACATGTATCCAAACCGTCTGGGGACGATGTTTCTATTTCTTCTGTGTATGTTGGGGCATGGTTTGACTATTTTTAACGTTTCGTCCACATTCCCCCTGTAGGGGGACACGCCCGACGCTAAATTGGGGGGGAGGGGGACGGGGGGCCGAACCCAAGCGCGCGGGTCGCCACTGGTCGCACCGCGTGCAGCGATCAGCACGCCGCGCACCAAGGGCTACCTCCTGCCTCCGCCCGGGGTTACGTCGGGCGTATCCCTCTACGGGGGGGATATTCAAGAATAGTTAAAAGATAGTCTGGGGACGATGGTTTGAACATTTCTTGCTATTTCTGAATACTTGTTGACAATGTCTTGCTGTTCCTCCAAAATCCCCTCGCCCATCGCGTGTGCGCGCAGCCGCGAGGCGTGGAGGTGCCGTCCATGCTGGGCACCATGCGCGGGGTGTACGCCAACGAGGGCGGCGTTCGCGCGCTGTGCCCCCACACCCTCCAGCCCACTCCTGCTCAGCTCCTCCCCCCCCCACCCTCCCCACCCTCCGGCCCTCCCTCCCTTCCCCCCGTCCCCTTCTTCAGGGCCCGATTCGATTCCTCCGATTCGATTTCGGCTCGACTTGGGATGCCGATTCGATTCGACTTGGGATTCCGATTTGGGTTCCGATCTCTCACTGGAGGCATACTAGCCTGCCGATGTCCGCCGATTCGACGTTGCCCGACTTGGCTGCCGATTTCCGCCGATCCGATTCATTTCGACCGCCGATCCGACTCATCGATTCGATTCCGGGCTCTCCTGCTCCTTTCCTCCCTCCCTGCTCCCTCCTCCCGCTCTGCCCTTCGGCGCCCCCTGGAGCGAGGGGGCGAGCGGGCCTGCGACCGGGAGCGCCCGGGGAGCGCTCCCGGGACCGCTCACGCAGCACAGGCCTTTGCCTCCCCGAGGCCGTGCCCCACCGTCCGGCCCCCGTCCCTCCCCCTCCCCCCCCCTCGCCCGCCCCCCCTCTGCTGCTCCCGGCTCCTCCCCGCCTTTTTGTTGGTCTGCGGGTCGAGAGCGGGCCTCTTCCCGGTCAAGAGCTGGGCGGGGCGCGCCAAGCACTACTTGGGGAGACAGGGCGCGGGCGGGCGGGGCCTCCAGGGCTCCTCCCCACACATCGTCCGATGTGTCGTCTCCTTTCGTGTCGATCCGCGGCCCCAGAGGTCCCGACCCTTCCCCCAGGGCTGGCTTCCGCCCTGGGTTCAGCTCTGGCTGCCCAGGGGCCACAGTCAGGAAACGCTGCCAGACTGTGCATCTTGCTGGAGACCCCCAGGGGCCGAAGTAAGGAAACGTTGCCAGACTGTGCATCTTCCTCCTCCTCCTCCTCCTTCCTGCCGCCAGCTCGAGTCCCCCGAAAGTCGAGCCCGACGCCTCCTCCAAGCGCGAGGAGGGTTGGGTCCTCCCCTCCTCCCCGCGCCCCCCCCTGCTCAGGACAGCTCCTCGTCCGCAGACGTTCCGACAGCGACGGGGACTGGAGCCTGCCTCCGGGGCACAGCCCGAAGCGCTTCACGCTCCGGGGGCGCTCTTAGCCATGGTGATCTTTTTTATGCATTGTTTTGCCGATTGGCGCGGGCCCTCGCATCACCCCCCTGCCCCTCCCCATGGTGTAGATCTTGGCTGTTTTGGGCGCCTGTTTCGAGCAGGTGCTCCCCTCACAGGACGCACTGCCGCAGACAGTCGCACTAGGCAGAAACTCGGAGCCACACACACACACACACACCACCACCCCCTTCCGCCCAATGTCAAAGCGCCGAATAAGAAAACATTCTTATCATCATAAGAAAGAAAGAAAGAAAGAAAGAAAGAAAGAAAGAAAGAAAGAAAGAAAGAAAGAAATAATGAAGAAATAAAGAAATAAATAAAGAAATAAAGGAAGAAAGACAAACAAACAAACAAACCAACAAACAAACAAACAAACAACAAAAAGCTCACATGGGGGAAGGGGGTCCCGAGGGAAAAGGGCCCTCGGGTTTGTCGCCGCCTTCGGGCCCTCGGGGCCCTGCACGGGCCCCCCCGGGACTGCCACACAAAAGCGGCTCGGAACGGAGAGTTCGTCTTGGGGGGGGCGCCCCAGCGTCCGGAGCCCGTTTCCCCCAGGGCCCGGTTCCCCCATGCTGGTTTGGGGGCGTTCTCCTCGTCCTCCTCGTCCCCATCGTCCTCCTCCTCCTCCTCCTCCTCCTCCTCCTCCTCGTCCTCCTCGTCCTCCTCGTCCTCCTTGTCCTCCTCGTCCTCCACGTCCTCCTCGTCCTCCTCGTCCTCCTCGTTCTGGCCGTCCGCGCCCCCCCTTTTCCTTCCGGGCCTCTCGTTTGCCGCCCAGCGCCGCGGCAGCTTTGCCGCAGGCGCGATTGCAAGTTGGGCACGGGGCGCCGCCGAGCAAGAGAACACGGGGCTGGTATTTATCCGTGGTCACCGCCTAGGGGACCGATCCTCGTGGTCTGCAGGCGGCAGATGTGGAAATTTGTTCGGGCCTTGGGGGCGCCAGATAGGCCCCTATCCACCGCCTGCCGAAGTCCACGAAGATCGGTCCTCCAGGCGGTGGTCCAGGATCCCTGCACCCCCACCTCGCAGCGTGGCCTGGCCTGTGTGCTCTCCTCCTCGTGCCTCCCTTCGAGACCGGGGCATTGCCATTAGAGTCCCAAGGTTTTCTTGCATCGTCGTTGGTGCGTGGAGGTTGTCCAGCCTCGGGATGCTGTGCGATGGCTGCGCTTCGCTGCGGGAGTTCTGGGGGTGCCCATATCGCCCCGAGCGACCGCCACAGCAGACCAACAGACGTTGTCGTGAGCGCGGCCCCTCCGACGGGGCCCTTCTTCCCGCCGTGAAGAGGTCAAGACGGCCGGCTTTCGGCAACCCGACACCCCAGCATCCCGACGCGGCAACTGTTTCACACCAGGCGTTTTCGCCTGGTTTCAGTCGCGCGGGGAAACACACTGACTATGGCCGAGATCTCGCGAGACGCGTTCGACGTAGATGTTGGTCATGATCCGTGCCGGCCGTCGCTGATTCGCGAGGATAATCCACGAGTTGATTATGACCTAGATGAACGGTGACCAAGATCGACACGACGTTTCTGCGTTCAGGCTTGTGTTAATAATCCCCACGCGTTTCCCCTCCACCGCGGGAAATTGATCCAATGCCAGAAATGCCGCGGAAAAATGCGGTCAGGGTTCCAAAACCCCCTTGGGGTTCGGGCGTTGGTTGTTCAGGGGGGGGGGCCAGAAACTCGCACACCCCTCTCCTTCTTGGGGCGTATTGGAGGCGTCTTGGGCCGTGTGGAGGCCATCTCTAGCGCCTTGGAGCGATCTTTGGACACCTCTAGGTTTTTGTTGGGCCCCTCGTGGCTTATCTTGGAATTGAACTGCCGGAGGCGCCCGCCAACAGGAAGGGGGATCGGAGGCTGCCAGAAGGGTTCGTTGGACACCGCTGGTACGACCTTAGGCCCTTAGGCACCCCAGTACGACCTGAGGCGCCCCAACAGCCGTCGAAATCACCCTTTTTGAACCAGACCCTCTCGCCGTCCTCGAGGGGAGTGTATTCTGACCCGGGACCCCACCCCTCGGGCGGGGAAGGGATCAATGGGAAAGGGTTCCCTTTGATCTCATTACGGCTGCGATTGCGGATTGGCTCTATATTCATGTCGAGTTGACGAGCTATAGACGCGCCACAGAGGGTCTCGGGAGAGATTCTGGGAATGGAACAGGACATCAAACGAAAGATTGTTGAGGACGACGATCAATGGAGAGGAAGCATGTTGCTAATTAATGTCCGGACGTCTAAAATTTCAAGCATGTCTTAGACATGTGTAAAGAATGTTTTAAGCATGTTGAGAACATGTGTTAAGCATTTCAAGCATATCTTTAATTCAATGATCGGATTGGATTGTGGGTGCCCATTGCAATAGCATCCACAAAAAGATCGTCGCCCAGAACCACCCAGGGACGACGAACCCAGAACTCCCCTTCACACACGCCGACGGGGTCGGCGGATTTCATTTTCCTGACACGCTTCGGTGAGAGCGTTTGTCGGTGAGCATGTGGGCGCGAGGGCGAGCTCGAATGGACGATGGGTGCGACGAGGACGACAGAGGCGACATTCTTGATGGTAAACGGGGGGAGCGACTACAACTGACAGACAAGGTGTGATCAGACTTTTCGCCGCGATTTGGACACCAGACGAGAAGGCCCAGGAGGGGGGATGCAGGCGCCGAGGAGGGATAGGCAAACTGGACGCGGATGAGGAAGGCGGAGGCATGAGCAGGGCTGCGAGCCATGGAGGGGCGTTTCTCCGAGATGCACCGAGGCACGACGTCACTTGCAAACCATCTCGCACTCGGCATGCTGGCGGCGTGTGCGTTCGCTGGCTGCTGGCGCGACCAGATGTGGACAAACTTTCCGTCCACATGTGGCATCGGGGTTGGTGCGACACGCGGTGGAGAAAACAACCGCCCGTACTTGTCATCGGGCCGATACGCCGGGCGACCGCCCGCATTTGGCATCGGGCCGGGCGTGGGTGGCCGCGAGGGGAGCTGGAGGAAAACGCGACCGCGCTTGGCATCGGGCCGGCAGCTCGGGGCCGTTCAGGTAGTGGCAGTGGAACGAAGAATGATCGGGCTGCTCTCTTGAGCTAGATCCACCCTGCCCGTCCGCAGTTGGCATCGGGCCATGGAGGGCGCGGGCCGTGTTTCTTCTTCCGGCAGACTTGTCCCGCACTCCTCGGCAATCAGGACAGCTCCCGTCACCGTCGACTTCCCAGACCTCTCAGACTTCTCGAAGCGGTTGAGAGCCTTTTTCACCGTCTCTGCAAGACCTTTTCCCAGCAACTCGCGAGGAGGCGGCCGCACCTGCAGCATGTCCGCCATTTGGCGCAGGAGAGCATCACGTAGAGGCTCAACCATCACGCGTCGTCGTGACCGCCGCGTTGTCCTCGGCACCCCTGGCGCGAGCAGTCGGTGGTCACCGCGGCGCGCATCGCTTGTCCCTGCGAGGCCGTCGTCGTCAGGTAGGAGCGTGCGAGGGCGTGAAGCCGAAGCGCTTCACGCTGTGCGCCACGGACGACGCCTCCCATGTGAAAGTGGTATGCATCAGAAGCATGCAGAAGAGGCCGCGGGCAATTGTATGTTGATTGCACGCGTAGTTCAGGAAGTCGCCTCACATGGGCGCTTGCGTGAAGTCGTCGACAAGCACATGCAACCAAATGCCCGTCGGCGTATGGCGCGGCCTGACAACCTCACCTGACCGCGTTTTGCTGTAGTTCCTCTGGTCATCCGGGCGGATCGCGCAGTCGACGATTCTGGCCCGCTGCCCGTAGATTAGGCCGTAAGTATCACTGAACTTGGGCGCGGGGAGCACGCCGTGGATTTGGCTTGTCCGCTAGACGTTGGCCACGGTCGACATGCTGGAGTACATCGTCGGATCCTCGACGGGGGTGGTTTGGCATTCGCTGGCGGCCTGCAAGGAAGATGCCAAAGAGGATGAGGAAGAGGGGAAGAGCACGAGGAAGACGAGAACACTATTCCCCCTCCTGGCGGCTCCCCGTTTGGAGTGATGAAACCATCGCCTCGCTCGAACAAATCCTCGCAATTTGCAGCGGGAGCTGAGGAATCTGCTTCACCAGAAAGGCAAACCGCCCGGGACTTCCCAACAATTTGCACGCGAACGGGCGAGTATCCCACACCGTTGCGCCCCCCTTTAGTTTGCTGGAACCAGCGCTTGGCTCGAGACATCCTCACCATATGCATTGGAAAACAAAGAGTCTGGGCCACCAAACAATCAAACCGCTCGAGACAAACACACAATCTGGACAGGAAGAAAAGAGTGAACACGCCCCGGAGAAGCCCGGGGGGGTGGGGTGGAACAAGCTAACCACTTGAGACATCCCCACAATCTGGGCGCGCTGATTAAAGTGAAAACGCTCATGGCAGCTCCCCCGTTGGGGTGCCCCCATACCACGCCTCTGAGATCGCGGTAGGCATTGAATAGCCAGGAGGGGGAGAGAGAGAGAGAGAGAGGGATGAAGAGAGAGAGAGAGAAGCTTGGAAAGCCGAAAGGAACAAACCGCCCTGAGACATCCCCACAATCTGAGCGCGAAGAACGAAGTGAAACCACTCGTGGCGGCTCCCCATTTGGACTACCCGAAACAGCGTCTCGCTTGAGACATCGTCAAGTGCGAGCGAGTCTGAGTGAGTCTGCCCCAGAGGTACTCCGGCGCAGGCGTCTCCTTGACGGGATTGCCAGGCCTCCTAAATGAGGTTGATCGGAGGTGGATAGACCTCCTACCCTGACACGTCGATTAGCGAATCGGCCGTTGTCGGTTCGCGAGAGGGCGTCGGGGCCATCATTTTTGTGGGTCCAGGTCCGTCGGTTTCGGTCCCAGGGCGCTTTCACTAAGGGGAGGTTCACTAAAAAGCGGTTTGTCCACAGCCGAGTTGAAGTAGATGGGGTCGGAGGATCGCGCCGCAGCGCCAATGCATCGGCGATGCGGCTTGACGTGGAGCTCGATTGCCTCCATGCCGAGAGCGCCGAATCATCGGCGATGTCGCCGATGCATCGCCGATGCATCGGCGGTGCGACGCGATCTTCCGACCACGTCTCCTCGGACCCCGTTTGCGAGGCCTCCAGGAGCGGGGATCTACTGCGGCGTAAAGTTCGCGTCCTACGACATCTCGAAGAGCGGGTGCTGCTAAAGGCGCCCCCTGGCCCAAGGTGCCCCCCGGCTCCGCGCTGCACTCTGGAGCCCCGTGGGGCCATGCTGAGTCCCACGAGGGGTGCTCGTGGGGGCGTTGGGGCCGCCTATTGGAGATCATGGGGGGCACCTTGCGACAGGGATGCTCCTGGCAGCACCCGAGAAGAGCCTGTGCAGGAAGCACCTGCTGCCAGACCCAGACGAGCCCCCCAGCGCGCTCCACCGCGCCCTCAGCGGCGGCCTCGCGGGCGTCTTCGCGCAGACGTTCGTGTATCCCTTCGACGTGTTGAGGCGGCGGTTGCAGACCGGCGGCGCCTCCGCGAGGGAGATGAGATGAAAAGGTGGCGACATACCTCCTCCTCCTCCTCTTCTTCCTCCTCCTCCCGTGTTTGGTTTCCTGCGGCGCAACGGCATGAGCGCAATTTCCTGGAGGTCCTCGCGGAATTCTTGGATCGGCGTTGGGGCCGCGCGGGGGCCCCTCGGGCGTCGCCCCTGGCGCACTCCGCGCGCCGGGGAGGGGAGCTCAGCAGCGATCCAGCAAATCCGCGCAGTCTCCAAGAATGGATGTTCCTGCCGCTGTGGGCTCCTCTAGGTGTCGCCTTTTCAAACCTCCTTGGAGGCCCTCGTCGCCACAGCTGGGTTCGCCTCGAGATTCTAGTCAGAGCGTTCCCCGGGAGAGGTAGCGGTATCTGTTGGTTCCCCAGGAGAAGTACCCTGGCACGATCCGGGGCTTGTGGCGCCTCTACTCCGAGGATCGGAACAAAGAGAAAGCGGCCCGAGCACTATGATGTCCCAAAATATTTTAGCATTGATCACCAGAGCGAGTTTCGAGCACCAAGTACCGAAACTGGAGGGTTTTCACGTGTCGTGCCCTGGGAGGCGATACTCGTTCGACGTTGTTTCGATATTTTGCTAGGTGCTCGAAATTGTTTCTAGGATGCGGTCCGTAAGTACGATGGGAACAGCATCATCCGAGCATGCAGTCAAGGCATTGGAATAAGGGGCACCCTTTGGTTCAGGGCCTCGTTGGCGCTTCCGCTTCGAGAATCGAGCAGGAGCAGGCGGCCCAAGCATGCAGGCAACGCGCTGGAGTCAGTCAGTGGAAGAAGATCGGTAGATTCGGGGGCGGACAGAACCCCCACCCTGGCACGTCGATGAGTGAGTTGTCAGTTTTCGGTTCTCGAGAGGGCGCCGCGGCCGTCATTTTCCAGGCTTGCGCCCGCCAGGTTTGGGCCCGAGGTCGTTTCCACTAAACCACGTTTTAATCAAGGGGGCTGTGTCCATCCCCGAATACTGTTTTCCGCCGTCGGGGACGCCAGATCCAGGGCGTTTGACAACTTGTTTCCCACCGGGCTGGACCTAAACGGTGTTTTTGGTGATCTCGTGGGCCGTTTTCGTTCTCCACATGCTTAGTGGGGTTCTTGTTTTCTTCTCTGCCACGTCCCACCCGCACTCACTCACTCACTCACCTCCCTCTTCCCCTCCTCCTGACAGCACTGCTCAGCACAGCTCAGCACAGCTCAGCTCAGCTCAGCACAGCACAGCACACACCCCGCACAGCATACACCCCGCACAGCACAGCACTGCTCAGCACAGCTCAGCACAGCTCAGCTCAGCTCAGCACAGCTCAGCTCTGCTCGGCACAGCACAGGAGTGGCATTTCCCAACACCGTAGGGGGTGCGCAGGGGGTGGTCACCTGACCGCGGCCGCTATCCGAGACGGTCGTCCAGGGCATAGCAGGAATGGCATTTCCCGACACCGAAGGGGTTGCGCAGGGGGTGGTCCTTGAGCGCGGCCGCTATCCGAGACGGTCGTCCAGGGCATAGCAGGAGTGGCATTTCCCGACACCGTAGGGGGTGCGCAGGGGGTGGTCCCTGAGCGCGGCCGCTATCCGAGCCGGTCGTCCAGGGCATAGCAGGAGCAGACACCAAGGGGGTGCGCAGGGGGTTTCCCGTCCCACCGAAGGGGGTGCGCAGAGACGGTCGTCGGGCATAGCAGGCGTGGCATGAGCGCAGGCCCTGAGCTATCCGAGACGGTCGTCCAGGGCATAGCAGGAGTGGCACTTTCTCGACACCATAGGGGGTGCGCAGGGGGTGGTCCCTGAGCGCGGCCGCTATCCGAGACGGTCGTCCAGGGCATAGCAGGAGTGGCATTTCCCGACACCGTAGGGGGTGCGCAGGGGGTGGTCCCTGAGCGCGGCCGCTATCCGAGACGGTCGTCCAGGGCATAGCAGGAGCGGCATTTCCCGACATCGTAGGGGGTGCGCAGGGGGCGGTCCCTGAGCGCGGCCGCTATCCGAGCCGGTCGTCCAGGGCATAGCAGGAGTGGCATTTCCCGACACCGTAGGGGGTGCGCAGGGGGTGGTCCCTGAGCGCGGCCGCTATCCGAGACGGTCGTCCATGGCAAGGCAGGATAGCTCTTTCTCGACACCGCTGGGGGTGCGAAGGAGCGTATCAATGGCGAGGGGGAGAGGAGGAGGAAGAGGAGGAGGAGGAGGAGGAGGAGGAGGAGACTATCATCACTCCAGCCATAATAAAAGTATGTGGGGTTCCTCGGTAGCGTAATTTCGATTTCGTTTTGCGATAAAGGCGGATTCGAGACAAAGCGAGGAAAAACGAATACAAAACGAAAACGGAAAACACCGTTTCGGTTCAGCCCTTGTTTCCCACACGGTGGCACGTCAGGGCAGCGATTGCCGCGCCGCCCTGGGGCAGGTTTCCCTGGCGGCAGAGGTGTGTATGCACGGCAGGCTCGTGCCGTGTCGGCCGGCGACGACCCCGCCGCCAGCGCTCCACGTTGAACGCCGCGGGCGACCCAGAATCGTTCGATGTGGGACGATCCTGACGTTTCGGGAGCGGCCGATCGTTCCAGGCTGAGCGATCCCCGCGATGTCGGAAACCAGTGCCGGGGTCGACACGGCAGGAATTTGCCGTCTAAATACCCTCCGTCGTCCACGAAATTAATTTTCTGGGTTTCTTAATACGGGTGGAGGGGTTCCCCCCTACGGGGGTCAACCTCGCTTCTTCGTCGCGCTGCGACGGGGGTCGGAGCGCCTTCGGCGCGCGGTGGCTGCCCGCGACGGGGGTCGATGTGGGGCTGTCGGCGGGGCTGACGCCCCCCCGACGCTTCTTAAGAAACTCGGAGTAGGGACCACCCTGGGTTCAGGAGAGGGGCTCGGGTCGTCCGGCAGCTCCTCGGAACTGGGCCGGGGAGCACGGTCGTGTGCGAGGCTCGCCGTGGCGCGGAGCGCGCTGGGGGGGCGCCAGAGGCGCCGCCAGGGGGGTCGGCGCCGATCCAAGAGATCCGCACGGAGCTCTGAAAGTTGATGGTTGCCTCGGTGGCCTTCGCTCGCTCTGGAGGAGGGCTTCGTGCGCGGGCTCTACCGGGGGTGCTCCCTCAACTACCTCAAGACACGGACCTGGTGCTGCTCCAGCGCGGCGGCCTGGATCCTGAGAGTCGCCACGAGGGCCCGGGGACGCCAGGACCGCGGAGCCGAAGGGCCGGTGAGGCAGTACGCCGCGGTCCTCCGGCCCGGCAGCGGGTGGCCTCGCCGGGCCGCACGGTGCCGTTGAGTGGCCAGGCCGCCGAATTGGAGCACCATGGGGTCCGCACAAGACGGTGCCGAACACCACGGTGCTGGGGGAGCGAACAGCATGCTGAGCGAGCGAGGAGCGGTCCAGATTTTCCCGCCGTCGGGGACGCTTGTCCCAGGGCGGATCGAAGGCTGGTCTCCCCGCGCGCGGCCGTGGGGACAGAAAGTTGCCGGCCGCCCCTGGGACAGGCGTCCCGATTGCGACAAGGTATACCCAGGAGGAAAAGAAACACACAGACACAACTAATCGTCGTTTTCCCCAGAAAATATGGGAAAATATGGGAAGTGGGGGGGAAGACAGAAACCCCGAAAATATGGGAAAGTATGGGATTATGTTTAGTTGTGTGTATTTATTTGTGTGTCCTTGGGCCCCTTCATATACGTTTTCGTGCATGCCGTTCTTGGCCCCCACAGCGGCAGCCACGCTGCTGCTCCCCGACCCCCTCGGGGTGCGTCCTGGCCAGGGCCTCGTGGCGGGGCGGCCCTGGGCGTGGCGATGGGTGCCCTTCGGGACTGCAAAAAAACCCTCGGGTTTTTTTGCAATCGGGTTTTTGTTTGCAATCCCTCGGTTTTTTTGTGTTGCAATCCTCGGGTATTTTTTGCAATCCTGGGTTTTTTTGCAATCCTTTTTGCAATCCTTCGGGAGGCCCCCAGAGAGGCGAAGCTGGGGAAGGGAGGCCTCCACCTCCCTGCACTCTCTCGTCGGGAAGAGTACGGATCGTGGGCGACTCCGAGCCTCCGGGGGCGGGGCCCCGGGACCGTCGAAGAGCGATTCGGGATGGAAAGCTGGTCCCAGGGAAGAGGGGTCCAGACATCTGGGGGTCAACGTTCTTCAGGAGAGGAAAAACACACAGACACAAGTAACCGTCGATTCCCCAGAAAATATGGGAAAATAATGGGAAGTGGGGGGGAAGACAAAAACCCAGAAAATGTTTGAAAATATGGGGAATCCTGTTATTTGTGTGTATTTATTTGTGTGTCCTGGTGCCCCTTCAGTTCTGGAGGATCGAGGCGTCGGAGTCCTGGGGAGGAGGGGGGCGCTGCGCACAGTTAGCCCCTGGGGGGTAGTTCGTGCTGGCCTCAACGGGGCCTCCGAGTAGTCCGGGGCGATCTCATGGAACTCCCCAGGGGCGTTGCCTGAGGCGGCGCCGTGGTGTTGAGACCGCCCCTGGACAGCATACTCGGGGGCCTGTTGAGGCTAGCCTTAAGTCGGGCGTGTCCCTCTACAGGAGGAATATCACAAAGTAGTCAAAAAACAGTCTGGGGATGATGTTTTGACGATTTTTGACTATTTGGAGGGGTTTTTCTAGCATTTTTGATTTATCCTCCACAATCCCCCTACAGGTGGACACGCCCGACCTAAGGCTAGCCGCAGCTGCTTCGGCGGGCTGTCTGCGCGTAGGGCCCAAGCCTCATTGTGTAGGCTCGCGCGCCGCGTCGGCGCGGCGGCGACACCCTGGCTCGGGCGTTCAAACCTGAGGGCCAGCGGTAACACGGAGAGTCGGCATGTGCCAGAGGAGTCGCGCTATCGGAGAATCATCATATGATCCATGTTCGTTCAAGATTGAACGGTTCATGCGGGGGCAGGCGCCAGCGTAAAAGTCGTCACGCCACGAACTTGCCGTGCCAAGGTTCCCCGGCCTCCCAAATGGGGCCTCAGCAGACGGGGTCGGAGCTTCGTGCCGCATCGCCGATGCACCAGCAATGCGGCTCGATGTGGAGCTAGATTTTCTTCACGCTGACGGCGACGCCGCCGATGCATCGACGACATCGGCACGATCTTCCGACCACATCTACACGGACACCATTTGTATCCGGCATCCGTACAAACAAATGCACACTTCGGATTCGGAAGGGGCTCGTTGTTCCTAAGGCCCTTCATGGTTGTTTCTCCTCTGGCGTTCGTCGTGCATCCAGCCGCTTCGCTCTTCGCTTGGCGCTCCCAGCGGTAGAACGATGACCGTACCAAAGTGGAGCGCCGGTGTCCGTATGCGTTTCCCCCCCGGATCTCCGACGTAGGGAAGTTTGTCACAACGTCGACCGCCACAGTTCTAGATCATTTCCCCGGGACAAGTTTTTCGTCCCGAGCTGTTGCTGCTGGCGGCCGCAGGGATTGCTGAGGGCCCCCAGAGATCGATCTCCAACAAACCGTCCGTCGTGATTTTTCTCAGCGAGAAGAGGTTAGGTTTTCGGGTCATACCTCGTGCCCCCATGGCCATGGCTCCCCTGGAACGCTATCGGCGAGGGGAAACCACGAAAACTTCCGAAACAGAGACCCTCTGCCACCCCCGCTGGGCGCGCCGCCGTCAACCGCCCTCGCACAGGGGGAGAAGAGGAGGAGTGCGACGGTGAGGAGGAGTGTAAAGGGGAGGAGGAGGAGGAGGAGGAGGAGGAGGAGGAGGAGGAGGAGAAGAAGGAGGGAGGCGGAGGAGGGAGGAGGAGGAGCTCAGAGAGGGGGAGGGAGGAGGGAGGAACGATTGAAGGGAACGATGAACTACCAGGTGTACCTGGCGCTGTTCGACTTCCTCCGGGACCTGATCCACTAGGCGAGCGCCCCTGGTCCGCCCCTGGAGGCCGGGTCTGGCATCGGCTGGTGCGGCTGCGGTGGTGTCGGCGTGAGCAGGCTGCCCGCCAGCGTCGCCGGGCAGAGGCGGGGGGCGCGCCTTGTTTTCGATCCAGGCGCAGGGCTAACCGCTAAAGGTCTTTAGTTTTGACCCCCCCACTTTAGTAGTAGTAGTAGTAGTAGTAGTAGTAGTAGTAGTAGTAGTAGTAGTAGTAGTAGTCGTACTAGTAGTAGCAGTAGTAGTAGTAGTAGTAGTAGTAGTATCAGTAGTAGTTTAAGTAGTAGTAGTAGTAGTAGCAGCAGTAGTAGCAGTAGTAGCAGTAGCAGCAGTAGTAGTAGTAGCAGTAGTAGCAGTAGTAGCAGTAGTAGCAGTAGTAGCAGTAGTAGCAATAGTAGTAGTAGGCGTACTAGTAGTCGTGTAGTAGTAGTAAGTAGTAGTAGTATAGTAGTAGTAGTAGCAGGAGTAGTAAGTAGTATAGTAGTAGTAGTAGTAGCAGAAGCAGTAAGCAGTAGTAGCAGTAGTAGCAGTAGAGTAGTAGCGTAGTAGTAGTAGTACTACTATCGAACACTACTACTACTACTACTACTACGACTACTAGTAGTAGTAGTACTACTACTACTACTACTACTACTACTACTACTAGTAATAGTAGAAGTAGCAGTAGTAATAATAGTAGTGGTGGTGGTGGTGATAGTAGTAACAGTAGTAGTGGTGGTAGTAGTAGTTGTTGTGGCCGCAGGCGTAGTAGTAGTAGTAGTAGTAGTAGTAGTAGTAGTAGTAGTAGTAGTAGTAGTAGTAGTACATCAGTACATCGCAGATTGGAAAAAAACAGTACATCGCAGATTGGGGATAATTCAGGGGCACGTTTTTGGGGGGATGATAGGCTCAGGGTGGGATTCTTCGCCCCTAACCGCGACGAAAGTGCAAGGCTCGAGGTTTTCGGGTGTTTTCGCCGGCGCTCGGCGACTTTCCAGCCTCGGGATGCCTTCCAGCGGCGACGCCTCGCCGAGAGAGGTCCAGGGGTGCCCGGGTCGTCCCGAACGGCCGCCAAAGACCCGAGTTTACGACCCGAAGACCACCAAGGCACAAGATCAGGGGGATGCATCGACCCGCGATCGCCCATTCATCGCCAGTAGAGGCCCGATAGCCCACCCCGCCCAGGACCGTGGAGGCTCGCAGTCAGGGGCCGTCGCCGATCCTTCGACGATGCGTCGCCGATTCCAGGCCGATGCTCCCCCCCCTGAGCCAGTCCCCCCCCCCCCTGTTGTTGCCCCTGCCTCTCCTGGCGAAAGAGTCACGGCGCGGAGCTGTTAAGTGGCAGTTTCCTGCATCCATGGGGCTCTCGCCGGGCCCCGTGGCCGCCGGAAAACGACTGGTCTCGGGGAAGAGGTCCAGACCTTTGCTTGGCATCGCTCGGACGTGCGCATTTTTCCTTCGGCGAGGACCCTCGAGGAGCATCCTTGATCATTTGGCGAAAAAACCACTCACGAAACCAGAAAAAAAGCACAGGGGATGGACGTCCGAGCGATGGCGAGTTTGGGGGTCACAGGCCCTACTGAAGTCCAGGCCTCCGGGGGTCGACGCTGTGACCGCAGCCCCGACGCTGGAGAACCGCGGGGCGCGCGCCCTCGCCTTAGATCGCGGCCCTCTGGCAGCGCAGGTCCCTCGGCGCGGGGCGGCGCCCTGCCACCGGCGGCGTTCTTCCCGGCGCGCCCTCTGCCGTGGGTCGCCGCCGCGTCGACGCGGCGCGAGCCTGGTGTGAGGCACGGGGCCTGTGCAGTCCGCACGCCTCGGCTCCTCCACTCCTCTCGCCTCCCTCCCCTCCCTTCTCTGTCTCCTGCTCCCTCCTCCCGATGTGCCTCGTCCTTCCCTCCTCCCTCGTCCCAAGCCTCCTTCGCTGCACCCTCCGGTGGGACTCGGCGCCGTCGGCCTGGGAGAGGTCAGGGCTGGCCGGGAGCGAGTCGAGTCTTTCGTCCAGCGCCTCAGGGCAGCCGCATCCCAGCCGTACCCTCCTCGTCCCTTGCCGTCTGCCCTCGTTTGGCAATCGCGCTTGCCCTCGCGCTTGGTTCGACTTCTCGCCCCGCTCCTCCCCCCTCCCCCTATCACTCCCCATCCCCTCCTCCTCGCCCTCTTCCAGCCGCTCGCCCCCCCTCCTCAGTCTCTTGCTCCCCCTCTTGCTGAATCCGCCACCCCAGCACCTGTCCAACTTTGGGTCAAGGGTCCACCAGGGCGTGCCGGCCGAAGGTCGTGCTCCTCCTCCTCCTGCGCCTGCTGCCCCTCGCCTCCTGCCCTGGCCCCTCACCTCCTGCCCTGCCCCTCGGCCCTGGCCCCCCTCCCTCTTCCCCCCTCCTCCCAAGATCTCCGACGTCGTGATCACACAACAGGTCTGGACCCCTTCCCTGGGACGAGTTGATCCTTCCGAGTCGCAGCTGGCTGCCGGTCCCGGGGCCTGGCGAGGGCCCCGTCCCACGGAGGCCGAAAAATGGCAAGAGCGTCCGCCGTGCTTTTTCTCACACATTGATGAGGTAAGGGGGCTCCTCCTCCTCCTCCTCCTCCTCCTCCTCCTCCTC